GCATATGGGGATTTCTTCTGTTCTCAAATGCTATCAATTCATTCATTCAATTTCTATGCAGAGGGTGAATAGCTACATAGTAATTTCAAAGCCACAGGAGAATGTCAAAGGTGTTTCTTAATCTGTTTTACAAATGATCATAACAGCTGAAAAGGAAGTCAAGGGCAGGAAATCACATTCTCCAACTAGGAATTTATTATCCGTTTAGGTCTCAGAAAAATCTAGCTCAGTGGGGATGATTATATTTTCTTTTATTTTAAATTTAGAAGATTTAGAAATGACACACAAAGAGAAATGTTTAGAGTTATTGTATGAATATTTCACTCTAGTGTGGTTTAGAGAACTGGAAATTTATAAGAGAATACTGCCGTGAGAAGACCCATAAAAATATAGACATGAGAATAGCCAGCTACATTCTGCTATTTTCCTTGAAACATGTTGTGTGTTTCTTATTTACATATTTTAGATGACATGAAGTCAGATACACCCACTCAGTCAAGGCCTTACTTTTCTCACCTATGACTAGAAGCAATAATTCAGAAGCCTATCAGAGAGATGGAGAAGAACATCTTATTTCTGTAATACTGCTCTTTACAGATAAAAGGTATTTTTAGAATATGACATATGCTTAAATATAAACATACCTGCATATTACATGCCTTTTAATATTTGAAAATTGGTAATTCTTTTAACTCTAGGATAAGTATTTTATCTCACAAAATAAAATGAGATTTGTATATTTTTCAAATCCTCTCAATCCTCCGTTTTGCTCCAGCCATTGCTTTCCTAACCAGTTCTGTCTGCACCTGCTTGGATGAATCCTGCACAGGTGGAACCTGACAAAACTTCTCTTGGGCCTACACATTGTACCTACTTATTGCTTTCTGCCCCAGGGCTTCTTCATCAGAGTGGTGTAGGATACCTGTGGGAATTCATCTAACACTCAGGCATATGTAATGAAGGGTTAATACCCAAGAGTCATCCTTGACCAGTGGAAGATGGAATCCAAAGAGTGTGTTACCTTTTTTCCTCTAAAGAGGACAGTTCAGGGACTCATTTCATTGTTTCCCATAATGGCATTAGCACTAGTCACTTGCAGAGGTAGCCAGTGCAATTGGCTTACTGTTCTGTTCTTTTAAACTCTCGCTTTCTCTCACGCTTGCCTTCTGTGATTTCAATTAAAATATCTGCAAACAATCCTTTGTATCAAGCTCTACTTTCAGGGAAACCCAGATTAAAATAGAGATACCAAGAGCAACCTCATAAAGCTATCAGGATGGGATTTTGGAAATAATAAGGACAAATTGTTGATGATGACTGAGATAGATGTAACTCCTAGCTCACAATAGCAACACAATGACAAAGAATCTTGTCTGAGTTGGGCTGCCCTGAGATCCTGTTAGAAGAAGAAGCATGGGCTTGCATTGGAGCTGTGGCAGTTGGATTAAATGGAGCCAAAAGTAATTATAAAATTATGGAGTTGGTTATTTTTATTATTTAGTTTGGAAGGCTTGAAAAATGAAAATAACCCTTTTTAACTCAAGGTATACCTTTAAACCAGAGGCCTTCAATGGTAAGGAAAACCTGTCTCCTGCCACTATGAGGCAGATTGTGCCAAAAAGTATGCATGCCTGTGATTTAATTAAAAGGATGGGAAGCTGCAAAGAAGGATAAGTGCATGATCTCAAAAGTCACTTATATAAAAGACACCTCTTGCAAGGAAAGTAACAAGACTCTCGGTTCAGAGACAGAGACCCTTGGTCCTGAGATGTACAAGCTGAAGAGTCTTGAAATCCCAGATTCCCCAGAATCCTATGAGCCCAAATGAGAAGGACCCTCATTCTTGCTGTCAGAATCATGTTTACCAGTACTGCAAAGACCTCACCTGAGACATACCCACACAAGAGAACTTCTGTCTTTTTAATATCTACGCCTGCTACTCCAAATTGCTGAGGCAAGCTAAGACAATTTACTTTGCTTTTAGTGGAATACACTCAGGTGATTCACTGTTCCATCCATGAATAGTTATGTTACTGTAAAACATCCTGGCATAAAAAGTGTTTCCATGTACACTCTTGCCACGTGATCTGTTGAATCACTAAAAGTCATGACACAAAAATGGAGACTATCAGAAGTTGAACTAGCATGTGAAAATGTCTTGTGGTACTGGCACTATGTGGGTAGCAGAGGAGATGCAAGTTTGAAAGATATCAAAACACAAATTTTGATGAAAATTCTTTCAAATTTTTAAACTTACATATAAAAGAAATTTGATAGAGGTTTTCATGTATTCGATAACAATCCTCAAAAAAACCATAACATTATGAATAAATTATATAACTAACTGAAAGATATATTTCTTATCTACCAATAATAAAAACTATCAATTATGCAGAGAAAACATTTATTTTTCTATTTTCTTTATAGAAAATATTACAAAACTGTCATATGAAGAAGTGGTCAAAGAATATGCAGTCAAAAAAGAGTAACAGTATGATCGATGTGTAGTTGAGCATAAATATGTTTTTATTTTCTTTTATAGGTACAACAGACACTTTTATTGAATTGACTAGCATATTCCTTTTCTTTTTTTATTTTTTAATTTTAAGTTCTGGGGCCCAGTGATGACACCATCCTTGCTCCCCCGTGCCCCCTGCGGGGCTGTGGGCGACACCATGGCTGCCCCCAGGCTGGGCCAGTGGGGCCAATGCCTGGGGGACTGAGGGCACGGGGTGCTGAAAGAAAAAAAAATTAAAAAAAAAAAAAAAAAAAAAAAAAAAATTTTAAGTTCTGGGATACATGTGCAGGACATGCAGGTTAGTTACATAGGTATACGTGTGCCATGGTGGTTTGCTGCTCCTATCCACCTCTCACCTAGGTTTTAAGCCCCACAGGCTTTAGCTATCTTTCGAGATGCTTTCTTTCCCCACATTCCCACTCCCTCACTTATAGGTCCCGGTATGTGTTGTTCTCCTTCTTGTGTCCATGTGTTCTCTTTGTTCAGCCCCCAGTTATGAGTGAGAACATGCAGTGTTTGGTTTTCTGTTCTTGTGTTAGTTTGCTGAGGATGATCGCTTCCAGCTTTATCCATGTCCCTGAAAAGGACATGATCTCATTCCTTTTTGTGACTGTATAGTATTCAATGGTGTATATTTACCAAATTTTCTTTATCCAGTCCATCATTGATGGGCATTTGGGTTGGCTCCATGTCTTTACTATTGTGAATACTGCTGCAATAAACACATATGTGCATGTATATTTATAACAGGATGATTTATATTCCTTTGGGTATATACCCAGTAATGGGATTGCTTGGTCAAATGGTATTTGGGATTCTAGATCCTTGAGGAATAGCCACACTGTTTTCCACAATGGTTGAACTAATTTACATTCCCACCAATAATGTAAAAGCATTCCTAATTCTCCACAGCTTTGCTAACATCTGTCGTTTCTTGCCTTTTTAATAATTGGCATTCTCACTAGCATGAGATGGTATCTCACTGTGGTTTTGTTTTGCATTTCTCTAATCATTAGTGAAATTGAGCTTTTTCTCATATGTTTGTTGACCACATAAATTTCTTCTATTGAGAAGTGTCTGTTCACATCCTTTGCCCACTCTTGATTTTTTAAATATTTTTTTCTTGTAAATTTGTTTAAGTTCTGTGCACATTCTGGTTAATAGAACTTGGGTAGATTGCTGTGATGGTTAATACTATCAATTGATTGGATTGAAAGATACAAGTATTTATTCTGGGTGTGTCTGTGAGGGTGTTGCCAAAGGAAATTAACATTTGAGTCAGTGGGCTGGGAAAGGCAGACCCACCCTTAATCTGGGTGGGCACAATCTAATCAGCTGCCAGTGTTGCTAGAATATAAGCAAGCCAAAAAATGTGATAAGACCTAGCCTCTCAGCCTACCTCTTTCTTCCGTGCTGGGTGCTTCCTGCTTTCGAACATTGGACTCCAGGTTCTTCAGTTTTGGAACTCGGACTGGCTCTCCTTGCTCCTCAGCCTGCAAATGATGACCTATTGTGGGACCCTGAAATCATGTGAGTTAATATTAATAAGTTCTTCTTTATATATATAACTATTCCATTAGTTCTGATCCTCTAGAGAACCATGACTAATATAGTTGCTAAAGTCTTCTCCCATTCTGTAGGTTTCCTGTTCGCTCTGATGATAGTTTCTTTTGCTGTGCAGAAGCTTTTTAGTTTAATTAGATTCCATTATTCAATTTTACCTTTAGTTGTAATTGCTTTTGGCGATTTCATCATAAAATATTTGCCCATGCCTATGTCCTGAATGTAATTGCCTAGGTTTTTTTCCAGGGTGTTTATGGGTTTTTTTTATTTTACCTTTAATCTATCTTGAGTTAATTTTTGAATAAGGTATAAGGTATAAGGAAGAGGTCTGGTTTCTGTTTTCTGCATATGGCTAGCCAGTTTTTCCAGCATCATTTATTAAATAGGGAATACTTTCCCCATTGCTTGTTTTTGTCAGGTTTGTTGAAGATCGGATGTTTGTAGATTTGTAGTCTTATTTCCTAGGTCTCTATTCTCTATATGTCTGATTTTGTACCAGTACCATGCTGTATTGGTTACTTAGTCGCATATAGCATAGTTTAAAGTCAGGTAGCATGATGCCTCCAGCTCTGTTCTTTTTGTTTGGGATTGTATTGGCTATGTAGGCTCCTTTGGGTTCCATATAAATTTTTAAGTAGTTTTTTTCTAATTCTGTGAAGAAAGTCAATAGTAGTTTGATGGAAATAGCATTGAATCTATAAATTACTTTGGCAGTATGGCCATTTTCATGATATTGATTCTTCTGATTCATGAGGATGGACTGTTTTTCCATTTGTTGTTTATTTCCTTGAGCAGTGGTTTGTAGTTCTCCTTGAAGAGGTCCTTTGCACCCCTTGTGAAGTCATATTTCTGGGTATTTTATTCTCTTTGTAGCAATTTTGAATGAATTGGCTCTCTGGTTGTCCATTTTGGTGTATAGCAAGGCTTGTGATTTTTTCACGTTGATTTTGTATCCTGAGACTTTGCTGAAGTTGCTTATCAGCTAATGAGTGTTTGGGCTGAGACATGGGGTTTTCTAAATATAGAATCATGTCATCTGCAAACAAAGACAATTTGACTTCCTCTCTTCCTGTCTGAATACCCTTTATTTCTTCCTCTTGCCTGATTGCCCTGGCCAGAACTTCCAATACTATGTTGAATAGGAGTGGGGAGAGAGGGTATCCTTGTCTTGTGCTGGTTTTCCAAGGAAATGCTTCCAGCTTTGCGCATTCAGTAGGATATTAGCTGTGGATTTCTCATAAATAGCTCTTATTATTTTGAGATAAGTTCCATCAATACCTACTTTATTGAGAGTTTTTTAATATGAAGGGATGGTGAATATTACCAAAGGCCTTTTCTGCATCTATTGAGATAATCATGTGGTCTTTGTCATTGGTTCTGTTTGTGTGATGGATTATGTTTATTGATTTGCATATGTGGAACCAGCCTTGCATCCCAGGGATAAAGCTGACTTGATCATGGTGGATATGCTTTTTGATGTGCTACTGAATTTGGTTTGTCAATAGTTTATTGATGATTTTCACATCAATATTAACCAGGGATATTGGCCTGAAGTTTCCGTTTTTTTGTTGTGTCTTTGCCAGGTTTTCGTATCAGGATGATGCTGGTCTCGTAAAATGCATTAGGAATGGGTCCCTCCTTTTCAATTGTTTGGAATAATTTCAAAAGGAACGATATCAGCTCCTCTTTGTACCTCTGGTAGAATTTGGCTGTGAATCCATCTGGCCCTGGGCTTTTTTTGATTGGTAGTCTATTAATTACTGCCTCAATTTCAGAACTTGTTATTGGTCTATTCAGGGATTTTACTTTTTCCTAGGTTAGTCTTGGGAGAGTTTATGTGTCCAAGAATTTATCCATTTCTTTTAGATTTTCTAGTTTATTTGTGTAGAGGTGTTTATAGTATTCTCTGATGATAGTTTGCACTTCTGTGGGATCAGTGGTGATCTCTCCTTTATTTGTTTTATTGTGGCTATTTGATTCTCCTCTCTTTTCTTCTGTATTAGCCTAGCTAGCAGTTTACCTATTTCAATTTTTTTTTCTTTCAAAAAAATAGCTCCTAGATTCACTGATATTTTTAAGGGTTGTTCATGTCTCTATTTTCTTCAGGTCCACTCTGATCTTAGTTATTTCTTGTCTTCTGCTAGCTTTTAGATTTCTTTGCTCATGCTTTTCTAGTTCTTTTTATTGTGATGTTAATGTGTTGGTTTTAGATCTTTGTTACTTTCTGAAGTGGGCATTTGGCACTATAAATATCCCTCTTAACACTGTTTTATCTGTTTCCCAGAGATTCCGGTATGTTGTCTCTCTGTTCTCATTGGTTTCAAATAACTTCTTGATTCTGCCTTAATTTTATTTTTACCCAGGAGTCATTCAGGAGCAGGTTGTTCAATTTCCATGTAGTTGTGTGGTTTTGAGTGAGTTTCTTAATCTTGAGTTTTCATTTGATTGCACTGTGGTCGAGAGCCTGTTCTTTATGATTTCTGTTCTGTTGCATTTGCTGAGGAGCATTTTACTTCCAATTATGTGGTCAATTTTAGAGTAAGTGCCATGTAGCACTGAGAACAATGTATATTCTTTTATTTTGGAGTGAAGAGTTATGTAGGAATCTGTTGGGTTCACTTGCCCCAGAGCTGAGTTCACTTCCTGAATATCCTTGTTAAATTTTCTGTCTTGTTGAACTATCTAATATTGAGAACGAGGAGTTAAAATCTCCTACTAGTATTTTCTGGGAGTCTAAGTGTCTTTTTGGGTCTCTAAAAACTTGTTTTATGAATCTGGGTTGCTCCTGTATTGGGTGCTTATATATTTTGATTGTATATAACCAAAATATAACTATATACAGCTAACCATATACAGCTGACTATATAACTATATACAGCATTATATATAACTATGTACGGTTATAACTATATAACCGTACATAGTTATATAGTTAGCTCTATATAATTAGCTCTTCTTGTTGAATTGACCCCTTTACCATTATGTAATCCTTACTTTGTCTTTTTTTATCTTTGTTGGTTTAAAATCTGTTTTTTCAGAGACTAGGATTGCAACCCCTGCTTTTTTCTGCTTTCCATTTGCTTGGTGAATTTTCATCCATCCTTTTATTTTGAGCCTCTGTGTGTCTTTGCACATGATATGGGTCTCTTGAAGACACCACAACAGGTCTTGACTCCAATTTGCCAGTCTGTGTCTTTTATTTGGGGGCATTTAGCCCATTTACATTTAAGGTTAATATTTTTATGATTGAATTTGATCCTATCATTATGATGCTAGCTGGTTATTTTGCATACTAGTTAATGCTATTTCTTCACAGTGTCATTGGTCTTTATATTTTTTGTGTGTTTGGCACTGGCTGGTACCAGTTTTTCCTTTCCATATTTTGTGTGTCCTTCAGGTACTCTTGCAAGGCAGGCCTGGTGGTAATGAGGTTATGAATTCCCTCAGCATCTACTTGTCTGAAAATGATTTTATTTCTCCTTCATTTATGAAGCTTAGTCTGGCTGAATATGACATTCTAGGTTGAAAATTCATTTTTCAGGAATGTTGAATGTCTGCCCCCACTCTCTTCTGGCTTATAGGGTTTCTCCTGAGAAATCTGCCATTAGTCTGATGGCCTTCCATTTGTAGGTGACCTGGCCTTTCTT